AATTATTGGAATTACGACCCTCAAGGAAGTTTCACCATGACATTACAAGAAATAATAGTTACATACTTTAAGTAAAAATGAAGCTTTGTTCAAATCCAAGTCTTTGCATTTCTGTTGGTCATCAGGGTTCAAATTGGATGAATTGCAAATGGCACCACTAACTGAGATAACCGACACATTGATGAGAAATGCCACTGTTAAATGTTAATGCAAATCCACTTTCTAACTTTCATAATCTCTTTAATTTATAACACGTATTATGCATAAAATGTACAATTTTTTTTTTTTGTTTTAATGTAGATTTTACACCAAAAATAAAAAAAATACCCTAGCCGGCTCGGCCCTGGCTCGGCTCGGCCCGGCCCGCTAAGGCTCGGGCCGAGTCTCATTTTTTTTGGCCGGGCTCAACTCGGCTCGGCTCGACTCGTTGCTACAGCTATTTTGGAGTTTGTCTACCCGGTTTCGGTTTGGTTTGAAGAAAATCGGCTTCTCATCACTGTACATTGCCACGTAAGCAAAATTTAATTTCTGTAACAGTTCGGTCGGTTTTTCCTGTACCTGTAGCGAAATTGATATAAGGCCCCGTTCGGGAGGGATTAAAAGTCAATTAAAATTGAAAATATGACCGTTATTGGGTCCCACTCGTCTAATAAAAGTCAACAATAACGGCTATATTTTCAATTTTAATCCGATTTTAATCCCTCACATACAAGGCCTAAATAAAGCGGTAACTTTCTGTTCATTCCATTTGAATTTAAAACAGCGCAACATAAATAATTTCTGTGTATGTCCCAAAATAAATAATTTACTGTTCATACTTCATAGATTTATCAGAAAAAAAGGTTTCTCATCGGCCGTTATACGTTTTCAAATTTGTCATTGAAAAATTCTTGAATTTTATTTTCTTGACGAACATTTTGTATTTCTATCTTTTCTTCATTTCAGGATTGAAGATTTGAAGTTGTCATTTTAGATTTGCCATTTGTTCACTCTTTGAGAGTAGATGTATAGTGTATCGTAGATCTTATTCAAAGGTGGGTTTTTAGAGATCGTAATAAAGATTTATTATTTTCTTGTTTTGGAAACTTTTTTATGTCTTTCAGTTAAATTGTGGATTATTGAATTTGTTTTTTATGCTGTGTTACTGTAACAGAAGATGCAGGGATCGGTACCTTCTCCGGAAAGAGTGAAAATGCGGGGTCTTGAATAAATTTCACGGGCGGAAGGTATATCTTTCTCTATAGGTTCCTTCTTGTGATAATTCTTCGTCTCATTTGGGTATTTTAGATTATGTGTGTTGATTAATATAATTGCACTAGAGGCAAAAGTTTCCCACTTTCGGCTTTTTATATTCCTAATTGGATGTTTTTACAGTGCTTTGGCTTTTAGTAATGATTCCCATACACCAGTTCCCTTCTTGATATAATTGAATTGCTAGACAGTGAACACAAGAAGTCGATGCTTTGATTTTATATTTACCTTTGTATAAAGATAAATTTGTAGAATCTTCAAGCGTTCTTTTTCTTCGTGAGTAGACGCTGGAGTCTGTGAATTTGATGCTTAGGAGGAGTTTATTTCTTTTATTCGTGTGGAGATAAAGTATTATTGAAAATGAACAAAAGTCCTAATCTAGGCAGATGTCAGTTGAGATATCCCTTAAGAGAAACTGAGAAAATGTGTTATGATGTAGCTCAATCAGGAAGAGGAGGTAGCAACACGGCACTGAAAGTGATTAACTCTGCCCCAAGAGCACTTGATCCCAATGCCAACATAGATGCTGCTAGCAATGTGGTTGGTGGTGGTACTCCTGTGTATATCGAGGAATCCAACAAATTGCCCTCATCTGGGAATGAACAGAAGTCCAGAGGATTGAGTATAGACCTAAACGCTGAAGATATTTCTAGCTCAGTCAACCATGACCCATTCTATCTTTATAAAAACTATGAAAATTTAAAATCTAGGGACGATTCTGATTGTGCAAGTTCTGTTGGTCCAATGGAGGAAAAAGATCCAATGAGAGTTTGGAACAAGATGAAACAAAACAATTATCTTTCTACTTCTTATGCAGCAGTGCCAATGCCAAAGCCACGTGGGAGGAAGAGTAGAAGTGAAATGATTAAGAGAAAGATAGAGCTTGCAAAGAAAGAACAGGCTGATAAGTTTGCAAGAATTGCTGCTCCAAGTGGGTTGCTTAATGGATTAAACCCTGGAATCATAAACCATGTGAGAAACAGTAAACAGGTTCACTCTATTATAGAAGCCATGGTGAAGTCTGCAAAAACTGATGATCAAGATGCTGGAAGCAAGCAGGCTAACCAAAGAAAGGGTGGCACAAAAGAATTTAGTGAAAGAAAGAACCTGGAAAACATGAACAGTGCAGGAGTGCATTGTTATGAACTTAATCATGAAGATAATTTGTCGGGAAGATGGAAGATGAGCGTCTATCCATCATTGAGCAAATCAGTTTCTTTGAACTCCTATCTTACCAGAGGAGATGGTGAGTCATACAAAGCAGAGACAAGGATCTCTGGTGGGGTGCCCTCACAGTACAACCCAGAAAATGATGATGGACTTGCACTAAAGCTTTCATCATCACTAACTGCCGCATCAGAGAATACTTGCTCTTTGTCAAATGAGGAGTCAGCAAACTTTTCTAGTGTTACTTCACTTTCTTTTAAAGGTTTGTAGTCTCTCACATGTAAATCTACCACTTTTTTCAGTAGTTTGATTTTGATATATGGTACATATGGATTAAACAACGTGCAAATCACAGGATAAGCTTTTCATTTTCATTTCCTTTTTTCATATTTTTATGATTAATATGTTCTACCAGGAGGATTTGACGAAATGTGATTTATAGACATTGGCTATATCATTAAAGTTCCATCTATTAACACAAGCTTCTGCCATATTTTTTTCACCGTGACATCTTGGTGATAAATACTTTACATTTAAAAGAAGAAAAACAGCGAGCTGATTTGGACTTCTGTTTGATTACAGCTGCTAATGCAGCTTCTCAATGGTTGGAACTTCTTCAGCAAGATATCAAAGGGCGTCTTGCAGGTAGGTTGATACCTCAAACGAGAGGAAGCACCTAAGGCTTATGGGCTCACAGATTGGTTCCTAATGCGCTCTGTTCTTTTATGGCAGCTCTACGACGTAGTAAGAAGAGAGTCCGTGCTGTAGTATACACAGAATTACCTCTCCTAGTGTCAAGAGAATTCACATCTAACCACGAGATTGATATGCACATAACAAAAGGTTCTATTGTTTGGCATCCTGACAAAGCAACTGCTGATGCGCACTTTGTTAGATGGAGCACACTGTTTGGTCAGATGGATAAAACACTTTGTGAAGAAGAGAATCTTCTGGTGAGCTGCTAATTTTTTTTTACTAGTAATATTTAAGCACAATCCAGTGGATAAATTGATGAGTGGTGATCTGTCTTTAGTCCAGTTCTATATGCATTGTTATTAGGCTCCAACCGTGTCACAGATCAGTTTACTGAGAATCCAATTTGTTGAGGTTCAGACAGATCACAGTCATTTTGTCTATTTGGCTCTTTTTTCTTTGCAACTCAGAACACAAGCATTGATAGTAAGATTGAATATTGTCTCTGCTAACTTGTATAATTTCTTTTGTTCATAGGCGTTGTGAATGTCATGATTATTACATTTTGACCCATTAACACTGCTGGCACCGTTGCTGGTGTTTATGCAAAACTACTGTGTGCACTATATTGAATTATCATTTGATTATCTTCGAATTAGGATATCTTGGTGTGTTGCAAAGAGCTGAGGTGATTTAAAATAACTGTACATTTTCATTAACACGATCCAGTATCT